AGAGGAGGATGGGGATGGCTGGAAAGCCATGGACAGATGGACAGACAGGAGGGGGAGGGCTGAGGGAAGACACAGATGAAAGGAGATGCATGGGAACCAGAGGGAGGGGAGCCCAGACATCGGACACGGTGAGGGGGTCCAGGAGAGAGAGGCAGGAGACACAGGAGAAGGGAACCAGCATCGAGCATCAGGCATCGGGCATGGTTGGGGCAGGCAGCAGAGGCGAGGTGGGAGTTCCCCACGGATTTCGCACAGACCCCCGCACTCCACCCCTTCCCCTCCTGCTCTCTCGGGTGTCTGGAAGGGGCTGTCCCGCAAAGCTGAAGACATATTCTCTCCTCCCACATCTGACCCTGTGCCATGGAGGAGCTTCCTTCCTTTCCCTCCTTGGAGGGAGGGGAGAGACCCTGCTGTGCTCTCCCTGGCTTCTCTGAGCTTCCCTGGCTGCTGCGTGGGGCTCCCTGAGGTCTGTGTTTGGTGGCAGGAAGTCTATTCCTGGGAGTTACTCCCTGAGTGAGGATGCCGGGCCATTTAAACTATTCCACAATTGGAGCCGAGCTGTCTTTCCTGTGGCCCCAAGGGAAACTGGGCCCTACTGCCACACCCCCATATGTCTGTGGGTGTCTCTCCTGGGCTTTGAGGTCCCTCAGCCCCGTTTGATTGTTCCTGTATGCACCTGTCTCCCTCTCTCTTAGTCTCTCCGCTGTGTCTGTCTGCACTCCCCAGCCCCAGCCCCACCCCATGGTGCTATGAAACCACTAATGTCAAACAAGCACCTGTGATGGGAGGACTGGGCTGGGTTGTCCAGGCCAGGACTGTGGCCAGGGAACCTGCAAGAACCCATGGCCTGTGTTTCCTCTCCCTCTGTCCTCAAACTCGCGTGCCCTCTCCCCAGCACCCACCGAAAGACATGTTTAAAAGGTGTGTTGGGAGGTTGCCCCCACTGCCTCTTGGCTAACATCCATCCATTTCCATCCCACGAAGACACGTACCTACGTGTGAGACTGGGGGCACAAGGGACTCCAGAGCCGCAGGCAGTTTACCTCCCCCATCACCGTGCACTGACCCTTGGGAAGTGGGAAGAGCTGTATCTGTGATCCATTGCCCCAGCTGGTGGTCTCAGAAGCGGCCCCAGTCCTCTCCCCCTAGAAGGGTGCACACTGACCCTCTCTGGCCTCTGGCTTCCTGCCCTTGAGGCTGTGCCACCCCTCTCGGGGGTCCCTCTGTGGTCACTTCTCCAGAGGCGGATGTTCTGCTGGCCCAATGTTCCTGCTGGCCCCTGGCCACCTGATGGCTGGCTCTGGTCTCCTACACAGACTGCCTCGTGGCCCCCGTTCCACCTTCCTCTGGGCAGCTGTAGGGGATGGGCTGCTCACCTGAGCAGGTAGAACCACCCTGAGAAGGGATGCCACCCTGTGCATGTGTGTGTGTGTGTGTGTGTGCGTGTGTGTGTATGTGCGCGCGCGAGCATGCAGGGAGGTGATTCTATTGTGTTTCTTTTTGATGCCTCTCTTCCTTTAGGGGCAGACTGGGGCCTTGGGGACTAGGGCATGGGAGGAAGAGTCCTGGGCCGGGGGCAGTGGTTCTCTCACAGAGGCCCCCATGCAGATTTAGAACCCAGATGCTATTCAGGGGAGTAATTCAGAGTGGACAGCCTTGAGGGCCAGACAGGCTAGGATGTGGCCAGAGGCGTGAAGAGAGGGGGACATTCCAGGACTTCCCCAGGCTTGCCCGTGGGGGACTACCCTCGGGGTGGCTACTGAGAGTTCCTTGTGCTCCCCTCTGGGTCCTTCTGTCTGTCTGTCATCCATCTGTATTCTATTCTTGGCTGGCTGGAAGCAACACGACATGTAGCAAAGCTCTGGACCTGCTTCCCTGAGGCGGAGTCCAGGCTCTGCTCCTGATGAGCTACCGACCTGCAACAGACTTCTCTGGGCCTCAGTTTCCTCATTTATAACCCGAGGAATGAACCTAGATTACAGCTACGGTTTTCTGGCTGTGCTGTTCTGTGCTCTGAGGGTCCTCTCCCTGTCTGAGCTGGGGGGCGGGGGGAGGTGTATACACAGATACACAGAATCTATTCTACGTTATTTGCTCAACAGCTGTTCCGACTGAAGGTGTATACGGGTGTGTTGCAGACAGGAGGTGGGGAGTGCCAGGAACCCTCACAACCGAACTTTAACTTGGGTTTGGAAGTTGGAATATGAGAACCAGGACTGAGCCTAGATTTCCGAGGCGGGGAGGCTGGGCAGACCGGAACCGTCCATGAGGCCGGTTGGCCCCGTCGAGGGTATGGGTCTGTGGAGGCCAGGTGAAGAATCCTTTATTTCCACAGCCTAGGGGCTGGGTGGGGCCCATGTTCAGATCTCCTTCATGGGCCTGCTGGCCTCTGCTTCGTGGCCTCTGCTCAGTGCACCAAGCTAGCCTCCGTTTCCCCATCTGTAACCCAAAGGGGATGGATTTAAATTCCTCCAAGGACGCTTCTGGCTCTAAATTCTAGAATAAGGAGAGTGGAGGAGGGATGGAGAGATGCTTTGTGAGGAGAGCAAGACATACAGAGAGGCTTTTCCTCGCTCTGTTCCTAAGCCTCCGTTTTCTCATCTTTTTAGTGGGAAGAATAGCTCTACTTACTGGAATTGTTGTGACAATAAATGAGACCCGGCATTTGGGTAACGTTGTGCCTGGCACAGAGTAGCCACCCCAAAGATGCTACCAGTCACCGCCTGTCACACCAGGTGGTCATATGATGGCTGTTACTGTTAATTACCCCGGTGATCGATGGAAGGGCGAGAGACAGAAGGAACTCCCTGCCCCGCGCTAGCTGCCCACTTCTTCAGGCCGCACCTCACTCGTGGTTCCTCCTCCAGCAGGGGCCGTCGACGTGGACGAATGCTCGGAGGGCACAGACGACTGCCACATCGATGCCATCTGCCAGAACACGCCCAAGTCCTACAAATGCCTCTGCAAGCCAGGCTACAAGGGGGAAGGCAGGCAGTGTGAAGGTGAGCCCAGCCCAGCCCTCCAGCCAGGCCCGTGGGCGCCACAGTCATGGCAGGCGGCCTCTGTCAGCCTTGGGAGGGAGGCTGCGGGCTTCCCCAGGCACCTGTGCTGCTTCCGTGGAGGAGATACTTGGAGTCATGGGGCGCTTAACTCTCCCTGGGTTTGAAACTTTGGGTTTGTTTTTTTTTTTAAAGAAATTGAAATGGAGCACTGACTGATATATTTGTCCATCTGTCCCTGACTGCATGTGTGTGGGGGAAAGGCCTGGGGTGACCCCACCAAGGCCCCTACTTTCAAATCTGGAGCTACCCGTGTACCCTGTGTAGCTTCCCTGAGGGAGCTGCGCCATAGCAGCCACAGCGTCTGTGGGGCTGGCTCAGGTCTTCTGTCTTGAGGATGAGAGCTTGGGCAGAGACTGGTGGCTGTGTGGTGTCCGTCGGTCTGTCCAGCCTTCCTTCCCCGCACCTGGGGTGCTGGTTTGACCGTGTGGCCTTCGAAACCTCCTCCCTAGCAGGCTGAAGGTTGGAGGGAAGAGCAGCCTCAGCTGTCTTTGGAGCCAGGACTTTCCAAGCCGGACAGAACCTTTGGGAACATTTGTCCAGGAGGGTCTGTGTGGTCATTCTGCCTCCGAGGGTCTGGGGCAGGGCCCAGCATTGGAGGGCTGGAGACAGCTCTCTACATGACTGCTGTGCACCCCTGGGTGCGAATCAGGATCCATATCTTCCCTGTCTGCCCCCACTTCACAGATGAGGAAAACTGAGGCTCAGATTGGAGAAGCCTCTTCTACAGGGTGCCCACGTTTCACAGTGGCATGGCCAGTACTCCAACCCAGGTCTCTTAATTCCCACCCAAGGCTCTCTCGCATCTCCTTGTCTTCTCTCTGAGCCCTGCCAGCTTCCTTTTTCAAAGTGTGAGATTTGTGTTAGGAAAGTGGCACCTGAGAACAAGGTGGGTGCCTCTTCCTTCTGTACAAAGCTTTACAGGAGCTGGGTTTTGTAGGAGATGCGGCTCTGCCTCCTTGGGATGCTGACATTTATCCATCTCATTTGTTTGGCATCTGCTTAAGGCTGAGTGCTGGACAGATGACACTATCCTGGATCGTGCCTGGTTTGGCCACATCCATGGCCTTGCTTAGGGCCCAGAAGCCGGAGCGGGGAGCTGACGCCTACCCACGGACCTCTGGAAAGAGGCCAGGCTGGAGGCAGATAGAGCAAGCTGGCTGCTGGCAGGGCCTGGACGTTAGCTTGGTGGTTCCAACTGACACATGTGAGGCTCTGTGCAACTGTTTTCTGACCTTCTGCTCTGCCCTCTGGCCAGGGAGGGCCCAGGGTGACCCCCATCTCTTCCAGTTTAAGCCACTGACCCAGCCTGTTCCTTCTCCAGCCCAGCTCCTTAGGTCGCCTCCTGCTGTCCCCTGCCCAGGATGCCCATGCTTTGTGTCCTACCTGTTGCCTGGAAGTCCTGCAGAGTCCAGCTCCAGCTTTCCAGTCTGCTTGAGCCCAGGTTGGGGGTCACACTCACTGGCTCCGGGGGCCTGATGTCCTCAGTGTGAGGAAAAAAGAGAATGAGGCTTGTGAATGTGCTTCAGGAACTGCCAGGAGCCCTGTCTCTCCAGCCTGGCTCTGGCCTCTGCCCTCACTTCCTGAAGCACAGGAGGCCCTGTGCCCTGGCCACACGTATATATACCAGGCCAGTCCGTGTTTCTGAGACCCAGCTCAGGTTTTCCCCCTTCTGCGAGCTCCTTTCCCTCCCTTTATGCCCTGGCTAGTTCCTAATGAGTCTTCAGAGCATCCTGCAGATTGAATAGCACACTGTGTAGCATACCAGGGCCCTGCCAGCCTCAGTGCCTGGCTCACAGTAGGTACTCAGTATACAGTACGTGCTCAGCATACAGGGGAAGGTACCATTACGTGCATTGTCATCATCATCATCATCTCTTCTTATCACCTCTCACAGTGGTTTTAGGCTCAAATGACATCATGTATGGTGAAGACCTTTGAAAATCGCCCACTGCTGTATACCTCAGAGGTGATAGTTATGGTGCAACCTGGTCCCTCCCCTAAAGGACCTTCAAGCCTAGTTGGGGTGCATGAGCTGAAATTATGTGTCAGTGGAAATTCTTAAAGAACAGGTGAGGATTGTACGGGCGGTAATTCGGCAGCTGTTGAGCTGCCGTGTGAACAGCCTGGAGAGCAACCGTCAGGCGCCGAAGGAGGGGCCGTTTGGCCACTTGCTCCCGAAGCGCTCTGTGAATGAGCGCTGCTGTGCGTTCTGGGGACCTGAGTGGACACTGTCCCACTTGCACTGAGGTTTTCTCATGCTGGGGGACCCACCTACAGTCATCAGTCAGAACCGGTGGAGCCTGCTGGAGTGCTCACCCGTGGGCCATCAGACCCCTGCTGGCTTCCCCAGGAGGACCTTGCAGAGATTTCTGGAGGCTATGGAATCTGGAGAGGCTTGCAGGCCCTGGGCAGTAGTTGCCTAAAGGGCCTTGGGGATCATCCAGGTGTTCACTTCCTGGCTCACAGGTGGAGAAATGGAGGCCTGAGAAGGCAGGGGTCCTGTCTGAGTTGGGTGGGACTAGAGCCCAAGTTTGGTGGGCCCGTTTCTCCACACTGCCATTTCTGCACACAATTATTGCTATCTGGGGCTCTCTGTTCTGAGAAGAGGGAATGAACGGTCAGTATTCAGTTGAACATAGTGGTTAAAGCGTGGCCTTTGGAGCCAGACTGCTTGGGTTTAAATCCTGCCTGTGTAGCCTGGGCAAGTTACTAGACCGTCTTTTGTTTATTTGTGAAATAGAGATAATAATAGTCCCACCTCATAAAGATGGTGTGAGAATTAAGTGAATTAATGTATCTAAAGCATGTGAACAGAGCCTGACACAGAGGACACACCAAATAAGCATTAGCTGCTGGTACCGTGATGATGATGGCGGTGACGGTGGTACTAACGGTGATGTTAACAGTGATGACGCTGATGATGGTGATATTGATGATGAAGATGAAGTTGTTGATGATATCGATGATCACAATGTTGTCCAATATATGAAAGGGTTGAAGCCTTGTCTTTCCAACAACTCCCAGCTGGGAAATGGGGTGTTCTGGTTCATTGACTATTCGGATAAACCATATGCATATATCCGTATCACCACAGAGACATACAGCCGTGTGTGCCATTCACAGATGACCATTTACCAAGAATGTGCAATAAAAGATACGAGTGACAGAAGGTTTTCCTTTGTTCTACTAACCCTACTCCAGGATTGGCAAATACTATGCTGCCACCTTCTCCCATAGCAGACATCAATAATCAATCACCAGACCCTCCAGACAGCCATTTCTACTTTAGATGAAACCTGCTTTCCCTCCCTGGGCCCCTTTATCTGCAGGTCCTGAGCTGGTGTGGGTTTTGCAGAGCCTGGGGTTGGAGTCTGGGGGGAAATGTGTTGCCTTGTCCTAGAGATCTGATAGACTTTGCTGTTTACCATGGTAAACACAGAGGACAGATTCTCAGCAAAGCAGGTCCAGAGAATGTGGCTTCCACAGCCTCCCTAGCTCTCCCCAGGATGAAATCAGCCTATGGCCCCGCCATGTGGGACTGAGTGAGCCTTTCGTACCCTTCACTGTGTTGCCTTGAAACTCCTGCTGCTTGAGGAAAACCCTTTAGCAAACCTGGCACCTGAAGCAGCCGGAACCCCCTTCCGGGGACGGTTTCTCACACGCCTTCAAGGCCATCTTGCCATGTGGCCAGTTCACGTGTGATGGTGATGATGGGGCTTCCACGTGTGCAGCCACTGTGTGTCCAGGGAGCAGCCTGGGGCCACATGTGGTCAGCTTAACGCTGGCAGGGGGCTTGCTGTAGCCAGAGTGAGGTGCCTCAGACATTGGGAAAGACCCTGAGCAAAGCTGAGAATAAATCAGTGTTTTCTTGATGATCTGCATTTCGACAGGATCTGAAGTTGCTTGAGGTAAACTCATGGATGTGCAGAGCTGGAGTGAACGCTACGGGACCTCCAGGGCAGCCCCCGGGTTTTACAGATGACCGCCCCGTTTGTTGCCCTCCCCAGGCCCATACAGCCCTCGTTTAGCCCACGTCACACTACGTTGATGTTTCCGATGTGTTGTCTTCTCCGAGGCAGGGTCTGTCAGCTCTGACCCCTAGAACCCAGCACCAGGCCTGGCACAGGGCTTAGAAGACCTCTGTTGGGTGAAAGGGTGGATGGATGAGTCCCAGCGGTCACCTCCTCCAGGAAGCCTTCCCTGATGCCCCAGACAGGTCAGCTGTCACCTGTGAGCATCCTTCCTTCAGAGCTCCTGTCACACTGGGTTGTGGTGACCTATGTGACTTCACTCAGGGTTGGGCCCAGAGCTGGTGTTGGTGGGCAGTGAATGACCCTTATCAATCTCTGGGATATCAGGAAAGGCCTCCCAGAGCCTCCCAAGCTTTGTGGGGCTTTTTGTTTTGTTTTTAATTAATTAATTAATTTTATCTTTGGCGGTGTTGGGTCTTAGTTGCTGCGCGCGGGCTTTCTCTAGTTGCAGCGACCCAGGGCTACTCTTCGTTGTGATGCGGGGGCTTCTCACTGTGGTGGCTTCTCTTGTTGCGGAGCACAGGCTCTAGGCGTGTGGGCTTCAGTAGTTGTGGCACGAGGACTCTGTAGTTGTGGCTTGTGGGCTCTAGAGCACAGGCTTAGTAGTTGTGGCGCACAGGCTTTGTTGCTCCGTGGTATGTGGGATCTTCCTGGACCAGGGCTCGAACCCGTGTCCCCTTCATTGGCAGGCAGATTCTTAACCACTGTGCCACCAGGGAAGTCCAAGCCTCCCAAACTTTGAAGGTTCTATAGATGAGGAAGCTGAGGCCTGAGAGGGGAAAAGATTAGTCCAAGGTTATCTGGTGGGGACCAGTGGCAGAATTAGGTTGAGGAAATTGGGCCCAGGGAGGTCAGTCTCTAACCACGTCACCCAGCTGAGAGACAGCAGGGCCTGGATTCCAACCCAGG